AATCAGTGATGGCTATCAATTATTTTCTGCATTATTTTTAAGTATAGTACAATCAGGAGAAATAGATATCATAGAATAAATATGCCAAGAAGAGAAGAGAGTTAAAAAAAATAATAAAATGAAACAAACAAACAAAAAAAACAGATGTAAGCTAAAATGCTAGATGTCTGAATAATTAATCAAGACAAGGATCAGGAAATCTCCATTGAATTTAGGTGCAAAGAAGTAATTAATGAGCTGGACAAGAACAATCTCAATGCACTAGTATTGTTTGGACTCATTGTTTATGATCATTTAGATTTAAGACTTTAGCAATTTTGAAACTGAAACTAAGTATATCAAGTTCCTACCGGTAAATACTTAAGAAATATAAAAATTTCAATGGTGGAAATTGTTCTTCCTTTTCTGAACATTCCTCGGTCCATGCCGTAAGACCTTAATACCCCAGAAGACCACAACACAATAGACTCAAACATACCCTGAAGACAGTGCAGGACTTGGAGGGCAACATTTAGTTCTATTGTGCGTAAGGTCACCACTAAATTGGAGCCAACTCAGTGGCTAGGATAAACCGAACTCATGTTGTGTCCTGATACTAGCAATGGCATTTGCTAGGAGGGAACAATGCAACACAATGGCAGTGCATTGCGTGTGTTGTTCTCTCCTAGCAAAAAGGAAAGATCTCACACAGTGCCTCATGGAGGATGTGGTCGCTGTGGTCTTGACCACAGAAGTAATTTCTGGGAGCTGCTCCTACGTGTTGCAACTGAGACCAGTAAAGGGCTATCCCTGGCAATATCAAGACCGGGTTCTAAAAACATGGTCCACAAGGAAACTCTATGATCCGTTTAACAAAGATTTACTGAAAACTAGGATCTAGAAAGGATTCCTGGTGGTGTAGTGGTTAAAGTGCTTGGCTGTTAACCCAAAGGTTAGCAGTTCAGACCTACCAGTCACTCCATGGGATAAAATTGTGGCAGTTTGCTTCCATAAAGATGTACAGCCTTGGAAACACCATGGGACAACTTTATTCTGTCCTATGAGTTGGAATTGACTGCATGGCAGTGGGTTTTTTGTTTTGTTTAGGGAGCACCAGTCACAGGACTAGCTGCTAAAGAAAATACAAAGTTGCGTTAATATGAATTCTGTTCTCAGAGAGCTTACAATTCTAACCAGAGCGATGAGGTAAATACATTAGTGACAATCAAACAACTTAGAACTTGAAATGTGATGTGAAAGAGGAACAAGGTGACTATAGAATTTTGCAGCAAGAGAGAGATCATTTTTAGGGCAATTCTAAAAAAGGGTTCATGGAAGTATCAGCATTTGAGATGTGTATTCAAAATCAAGTGGAGTTTAGACATGTGGAGATAGTCAAGAAAAAAATATAGAAAGAGGAAATATTGTGAGTATAAAGAAACACAGGTAGCAAAGTGCTACTCATTTCAGGGGCACCATATTATTTTGGAGGGCTTGAGAAGAGGTCTTGTGTACCTTTAAAAAGGTGCTGAGATGGTGAGCATCCTTGAAAGTCAGGTGAAAGAATTTGAACTTTATATTATTTATACTGAGGTATTCTTCAAAGTTTTTGTGGCAGGGCCTGAGATGCTCATTGATCTGATCCATGGGTAATATGACTGAATCTTGAGATCAAGAAAGATCTAGACTGACTGTTCAGTCTTGGAATCCTGGGAATAGATTGGATATTTAAGATTATACAGAAATAAATGAGAACACTGAAGGAGAAAGTATAGATAAAAAAATGGTCCCAATAACTCTGCAAATATTTATATGTGCAGGTCTGAAATAGAACCAGGAGTCAGTGAGTAAACCATAAAAGATATAATCAGAATGATAGGAAAGAAAACCAGAAATATATGCTATTAAGAACAACACTCTAGAAGGAGGAAAGAGGAATATGAGGAAAATAACATTTACTGTTATGTTCTAGGAGCTTCACTTGTGGTTTCTTGTTTATTCATCATGACATTTCTCTGGAATAAATAATTATATTTCCTACAGATGTAGAAAATTAGATTCAGAATCTAAGCTGCTTATCAAAGATCATATAGCTAATAGATGATTGAGCTGAAATTCTCACCCAGGTAGAACTAGCTCAAGTTGACAATGGGAAAGCCCTGAACTGAGAGATAGCAGGTCAGGATTCTAGTCCAATTCTGAAGCCAACTCCCAGGATGACATTTGGTATATCATTTCACTCCCATAAATCTCAGATTTCTCATATATCTAATCAGACTATTGAATTAGATTACCTATTGTATGTAACTTAATGTTATATTAAAACAGTATTTCCTGACTTTATGGTTTGCATATTTATGTTACAGTAAATTCTTTAAAAGTTCCAGAGGGAATGGATAAAAAATTAACATGCTATATAGACACCGGGAGCTCTGGTAGCATAGTGGCTAAGACACTTGCCTGCTAACCAGACCGCTGCCGGTTCAAACCCACCAGCCACTCCTTGGAAGGAAGGTTGGGCAATCCTACTTCCGTAGTGATACTGCCTCGGAAACCCAAGGAGGGGTCGCTATGAGTCGGGTTTGACTCGACGGCACATAACAACAACAACATATAGACACCTTGGAGAGAACAATCATGGGAGAACAGAAGGGCTGTATATGCACAGGGAGAGAGCTCAGGGGGCAGGAATACATGGAGGGAAGGACACAGAGAAGAGGTAACTATGGGATGGAAGTGGCGGGGGAGCTATTGCATTGTAAATTGTAGCCAATGTCATGAGACAAAGTGTATGTGAGCTGCTATATGGAAAGTGAATTTGCTTTGCAAACTTTCACCCAAATCACAATTTAATAAAAAAAAAAAAAAAAAAAAAAAAAAAAAAAAAAAAAAGGAAGGCATCTCTGGCCTGGGGTAAAGGTCAGAAGGCAAGAAGGGGTAGGAAAAAAAGATAAATGGAAACAAGAAACAGAGGAAGGAAGTGAGAAGAATTGTGGATGTTACATTGTGGATATTGTAAGCAATATCACAAAACAGAGTGTTTTAGGATTTGTTGAATGGAAAACGAATGAACTCTGTAAACTTTCACCCAAATCACAATAAAAAGTAAAAAAAAAAAAATTAATATGCTTCGCACAAAAATAAAATCCAACACAACAAGAAATCATCTTTCAATCTGAGATGGCAGTAAGGAAAGAACAAGAGGAGGATTGAACATACTGAGTTTGAAATACTGCATTTAGGAGGCATAAGAAACTCACCTTTGAGACTGGTTGGTTATTGGACTGAAGGGACATGAATAACTGAGGATAGCTTTTACGTGTCTCGTGATAAGCCATGAATCAATTTGCTGCTTTTGGCATACAGCCTTCAAAGCTGAAACCTCATTGGGAAATGTTAAATGAAGTACACAACTTTTCTTCCTGTTTTTATATCTATTTTTGTATAATATAGGAAAGGAAAAGTTGTATATTGGTTAAATTAGCTTTAAAATGGGAAGAATTGCAGTCAATGTCATGAAAACAATGTGTATGCACTGCTGTATGGAAAATAAATTTGCTCTGTAAACTTTCACTGAAATCATAATAAAAATTAAAATAAAAAAAAGATTTATTTACAATCTTATGACCTAAATTCAAGCTCCACTAGGCAAAAAGCCAGGGCCTTCAAAATTTCCGCAGTATGATCTATCGCCTGGCATTAGTTAGGCTGGACTGCACATTAAGTTGAATTCAAATCCTGGTGGCACATTGAACAGGCAGCCTGGCCACCTAATGAAGAGAGCAACAGCTTAGAATTCAAGATACCTTAGTTCCAGTCCTGCTTTTGCTCATAATTATAGGAGTGACTCTGGACAAATTTATTCACATGTATATGCCTCAGTGTGGGAGCTCTGGTGGCATAGTGCCTAAGACATTTGACTGCTAATCAGAAGGCTGGTCGTTCAAAGCCACCTGCCACTCCTCAGAAGGAAGATTGGGCAATCTGCTTCCATAGAGATAACTGCCTCGGAAACCCAAGGAGGGGTTGCTATAAGTCAGAATCGGCTCAACAGCAGTGAGTTTGTTTTTTTGGTTATGTCTCAGTTTACTAATTTGTAAAACAGAGTTGGTGATATCTGTTTCATGGGATGGGAAAATCACTCCTAAAAAGTCACTTGATAAGAGTGTTGAATCAAATTTGTTATTCAGGCTGTTCTCAAGTTTGTTAGTATCATATTGTTTCATTTGTTAAAATTTAAAAAATACTGTATCTTCCCTTGGTTGGGCGTCTATTTCCGTAGTGATACTGCCTCGGAAACCCAAGGAGGTGTCACTATGAGTCGTGGTCGACTCGACGGCAAATAACAACAGCAACATATCTTCCCTTATGTGTGTGTGTGTGTGTGTGTGTGTATACACATATATATGTATTATGTGTGTGTGTGTATATATATATATATGTATAATTATCAAAGCATTCGTAATTTTATATTTTTTTCAAGCTACATACAGAATCCGTCTGGAATTCCAACGTGTGTTTAGAGTATCCTCCCCACCTTACTCACCATTAGTCACTGAAATAACTGTCTGACAGTAACTTCTGGCTTCCATAGACTTCTTTGGAATAAAGACCCACTTGTCAAACTTCAGGATGGACCGTTGTTCTAAGGGTGTCTGGTACCAGTCATGATGAAAGGTCGGACCCATTTTCCCTTTCCTGAAGTGGAACAACTTTGCCTCTGGCTTTAAAACCAATCATGTCTTATGACACATTTCTGAGGGGAAAGGAGGGATTTTCTTTCAAGTGGCGGTGTTTGCCTGTTTGTTTTCATTAATCTTTAATTGTTTACCCAGCCTCGTGCCATGGAAAGTCCGGGAAGGTCTGGAATTCCACCTTAGGGCGAAGTTCTGCCCCATTATGAGACACTGAACAACTACCTGCACAACCAATGAAAACTGTGTCCTTAGCCTGGGCATTTGATATATTTAGAGCAGCAGCCTCTTTAGTGCAGTTGCATCGGAAATCCTTCAAACAAAATAATGGAGGCTCAAAATCAGAATTTGAAGACAACACTGCCATTATCTTTAGGAAGATTTCACATTTCTGAAGATTATGGTTTTCTTCTCCCAAATCCTCTGGTAAGGACAAAGCTTTGGACCAGGTCTGAATAGTTTTCTTCCTTTTTAAAAAAATTGATATGGTTGTAAAGAGAGATCCAATAAAAGTATCAAGTCATTGACCTGAGAAAGTTGCTACAAATAAAGCATAGTGACAGCTACAGCAGAGGATGGAATGTTTTAATGCTAATTTCTTTGAATGGATTTCAGTACAGCCAACCTAAAATCAAATTTATGTTTATCAAGAAAAAAAACAGAGCTTAGATACAAATTACTGATGTGGGCAAATATAGAGCCATAACTATAGTAACAAGGTGTTTCTGAGATATTACTTTTACCACTTGATGTGAGGTAGCAGCAAGGTCCTCTAATATTGAATAAACTTAATTCCTTTATTACGTATTCAACATTTTGCACTGGTAAAATGTTTGTAATGGAAATACCTGTAGGAGAGTTTACTCATAAACTCTTCTGGATTACTATCACTGATAATCTTGGTGTGGATTAGTTTATTTTAACTAGCTAATTAATTGGAAAGAAAGGAGAACATGAGGTATCTGAGATGTCTTGGAGGCTGATAAAGGGGAAATTGCTGATAAGAGGAACAAACCCTTGAGAACAAACAGTACTTTTTCTTAATTTTCCTTAGTTCTCAACCTGTGGTATAATTCTGTTTTATCAGTTAATGCTTGACAATGCCATTTTTTTTTTTTTTTATTTGGTTGGTGTTGTTTTGCTTTCTTTGA